ATTCGCGCTCGTAGAACGGGGACAGAGAGCAAAAGAAACCAAAACGAACGGGCGAAACAAAACAAATATAAATATACATGGAGAGATATGGTCAACAGTTCACATTTTTCATATGCCGAAATTAACATTTCTGTTTTCGTTAATTTTGGCATGTGGCGCGACCCCTAAGGGTCAAATATGATTTGGTTTCAAGTTTTCCAAACTCTTCAAAAACAAATCGATACCAAAAACAGATCAATGATCTCATTTGCATACATCTCTGTCCGCATTAAAAGCCATCCGAACGGAAAGCTGCAAACCGAAACCGAATATAAAATAAAAAAAAAAAAAAAAAACCACTGAGGCTGCCAAATGTGAAACATGCAAAGAGCATCGGGCATCCAAATGCCGCAAGGTGGAAATCAATTTTGTTTTCTTTCGTTTCTTTGCTGGCTTTCAATCAAAATCAAACTCGGTTGAGAAATGAATTAAGGGTTCACTGGGATCGTTGACGAACTGGGAATGCTCTTAGGCGATGGGCGATGAAAGTTATCTAGGTGAATATTAAAATTTGTTAAACTATTTCATAGCTCTGAATTTAAATATTAATACGCTTCAAAATTTAATAAGGGTCCAAAAGATATTTTATTTTAAATTTGTTTCTTTTTTTCTTTTGCTTGATTTGTAATTTTAGGTTCACGCATAACGATTACTAATATACTCTCAACTAACCATTATGTTTTATCGGTTTTTATAATATAATATTAATTAAAATTACTATTTAATGGTAGAATAACCCAACACGTGACAGAGTATTTTAGAGACAGAATTCTGTCGAATCGGAATCGAGTCAACAACGAGGCGAATTCAAATCGAACGCATAAATTAGTCAGAAATAAACGCGAAAACGTGTTTTAAATTTTTGTTTTCATTTCACGCGCCGCCTCAAAGAATGAAACGAACCAAAACCAAATCCGAAACCAAAACCAAAACCAGGCTTCAACTGAAAAGCGAACCAAAAACCGAACCGAAATCCAAATGAAATGAAATGAAACTGCGAGCGGGGAGCACTCATGTCAGTATTTGTCAAAAATGTAAAAAAATACAGCTCCGGTTGTTGTTGATTTTGGCATTGATTAATGCATTTATAATTAATTTATTGTATGCACAGACTTCAAACTGAAATAAAGGTAGCCTGGCATGACATAAGTTTTTCTTTTTTTTTTGAAACTGGAGCTGGAATTGAGGCAGAAATTGGATGCCTCATGCGGATGGACACAATTTGCCTGTAACCTAATTTCAGCAGAAATATTTATATTGATCGAAAGGGGCCCGATCATGCTGGGCAGGAATACAAATCGAGCGGGTGATTGATGATGGCCGACTGTCAGGACGACTTTAGACCATTTTCATACGCATTCCGCTCCGAATTCACCGATTTTGCATTCTGCAAGTCACTCGAGTCTCGAGCTCTCAGCGGCGGCAAATGGCAAACGAGGAAATCCTGGTAAAAGTCACATACATTAGAACGCATTAAACTGTAACCAGAAAGGGGCGAGGCCCGCAGCGGAAAAGCGGAGGAAAAGAAAGGCGGCCAGAAAGGAAACCCCTCGAGCCTTTCCCGGCTGCAATTGTTGCAATTGTAAGGCAGCGTTTTTGTGAAAAGCTGCACTCGCAGAAATATTTACCTAAAATGTAGTCCAAATATTCAAGAGCAGAATATATTAAAAATGTATTTATTGTAACATTTTTACCATTTTAATTTTAAGAAGTATTTTAAACAAATACAGTATAAAATAGGAAGACATAAATGCTGATAATTATATAAATCAAAGATTAACAGAGCTACTCATGAAACTTTTCAGATTTTACATGAAAATATGAGTAACTGAAGTCAGTGCAATTCTGATATTTCTTTTGAACTACTACTATATTTTTTCGAGTGTCGCATAATAGAAAGAAAGCAACGGGAATAGAAAAAAAAACAGTCTTTAGTCCCGGCTGTGCACCCATAACAAACAAATCAAGAACAAACAATTGTCGGGGATAATCTGTTGCTCACCAAGGATTAGCCGTCACTATCCATCCCTTTCCCCTCTCTCTTGCCATCTCCCTTTAACCATATGCAAATGCCAAGAGCCAAAATTAAAGCGTGAAAATTTGTGAAAAGTATCCGGCTGAGAGTGCGGGTGCAAAGGAAACCGCAATCGGAAAACCGCAAGAGGAAAGGGAGGAAAGCGAACTGCTTCTGGTAAGGGCCCTTGTAATGGGTTTAAAACACCCCATTTTCTTCTTCTCGAGGAAAACCTCAGAGTCGGAGGCGTTTCCCGACCGAAGACGGAAGGGTTACCCTTCCCACCGAGAGGTAACAAGATGATAACGAGCTGCGGGTTTTCTCTGTTTTGTGCCCTGTCGTAAAACAGCAAATTGGATTAACTTCTGTGACATTTTCCTACCGAAAGTCAAAATGGGATAAGACGATGCGCAAGGAGAAAGCAGGGAAAAGTGGGAAAATTAGTATAGAAATCGTATTGAGCCGCAATCTAAGCTGCCTTCACGCCCATTTTCAAATGCAAGGGAAAACACTTACATCTGTAAAATATTTCATTAAGAAAGCGTTTGCCCTGGCAAAAGGGCTGTTGTTGTGGGAAATGAAAAAAATCGCATAGAGCAATAATACCGAGAATAAAAGGTGCCATTAGTAAATTATAAGCAATGTGAAATGCCAAAAAAAAAAACATATTTATATAATTTCTTTAATAATTATAACTATAATGTATACATATATTGAAAATGTTCATATTCATCTCCCTTTTCTAATAAAGATTTTTAATGATTTACAAGTCAAAACATTACAATTATTTTAAACAATTTTAAAGATCCTTGGTGGAGCAATAACTTTGCAGCTTATTTTCTAGAAATTATATGTTATGAAAACCATTTCTGTTCGAGATACATGATCGAACATATGCAAATTTACCCATTAACTGGGTATATATACTAATGATACACAATGGGGCAAATATCATTGTTCGTCGCAAGGCACTTACTGTTTTAAGAGCCATGGATATGAATATTCATAGATAGCTTTATGGCCGGGTACTACCAACGGCAACTACATATTTAGCAATCAATTGATATGATGCCGGCGACTGCAACTATTCAATTTTGTAGATCTCGGGCGTAAAGATGGCTAATTATAATTTATACTTAGCGATTACCATACGGTTGGGTACAATTTCCAGAAACTAAGCTATTTATGATACATTAATCCCGCTGACGGTATCTGGAAACTTGGCGGATCGGCGAGTTTGTCTCTCTTTCGCACTAGGGGGCGCCAGCTAACAATGTTAGTAATATCGTAAAATGTCTTATGGCTATCAACAGATATCGCATTTAATGACCGAAACTATGACAGCTTGACAACTGCCAAACGGGCGAAAAAACTAGTGGAAGATGCAACAAAAAAAAAGCAGACCGTTAGGAAAACTCCATCACTAAGGCTTAGCGTACTCCCCTCTCTTTCTAAAGCAGATAGTCCCTCTCCCTCGCACTTTCAATCCAGTTCGCTGGGAGTTGAACATTTTCGAGGGGGCATTGGGGAGGTGGGCGGTGGGTAATAGCCCCCGATCGATAGACCACGCCCACCGGCATCCGCTAATACGATTTCGATGGATGCGTCTGTGTGAGTGATCGCTCGCATTGATCGCTCTCGTTTGTATGGCTCGCTCTCAGCGAGCTGCTCTGCATTGGTCAGCGAAACGAGAACATATATGCCGGGTATATATAGTCGCCCGATGCACAGGCGACAGCGATATAGTCCGGTCTCGTTTTCGCCCACGGCAAACGGGATCGGCTCGTTTATCTATAACACCCGACGACGACTGGAGCACGATCACGTTTTGAGTTTGTGTTGGTGGATCACTCTCTCTTTGGGGTAAAATGAGTGCCCACAACGTAACGCTCTCTCCGCATCGCCTGTCTGTGTGGGTATACTGGTTATAACGGTGCTCCGATTGTGTTAATCGAGCCAATCAAATGTGGTAACGAATTCTTCGAGTAGATATATCCATTGGGGTGAATGTGTGAGTGCCAGGTGAGTAAAACACTCAAAAGCCGCACAAAATGGTGAGAGATCGAGTAAACTGAATGAGTGCGATATTAAAAGTGAGCAACTGAAAAATTGATTGAAAGGTATAGATCCCTATACAAAGTTTTATTTACGAAATTTAAATTAATATTAATATATCCATGGAAAAAAGAAAAAAAAAATAAATGAGGTAATTGAAATAAATATAAAAACAGCTTTTTATGTCTTAAAACAAGAAAAACTAGTAGTCGTAATTTGTGATTTTTAATAAGATTCAGATAAGGTAAAGATGTGGAAATAAATAAATTATTAAATATTTCACAATATGATGGTTTTCTTAAAAAAGCTTATACATTTTGATTCATTTTTTTTTTAATGTTAATAACACAAGAATTTAATGAAATACACATTTTATTCTTTTTTGGTTTTCAATTTAAAACCAATAATTTTCTTTAAACAAAAAAGAACTTTGGGGTTTGTTTATCAAGGCCTTTTTCATCAATGAAAAAAATGGTCTAAAAACCTACAGCTAACTCTTAAAATAGGTGAACCCTTTTACTGGGATTGAATCAACTCGATTCTCGCTCGGCTTCCGAGTAACACTCAATACCAAAACTGACTCCGATTCAGGTTAACATCACTCAAAGCGCGACTCACACGGACAGTAAATCCAGCTCAAAGCCGCTCTCCCAAGTCTCAATTCATACTCGGGTTCTCTCTCTCTCTTTTGGGGGATGAGTGTTCGGGTGTATCAACCGTTAGAGAGAATCGGAATCGTCTTCTTCCTCACACACACAATCGCATACGAGCGGCGTTCGAGTTTGTCGCTTTTGCAGTCTTTTGTTTTTGTTTCGGTTTCTGTTACTGCTTCTTCGACCAGTTTGTAGTTTTTGTTTATAGTGGTATCATCATCTCCCCAGCGAGATATTGCCGCTGTTTTTGTTGCTGCCGCCGCCGTTGTTGTTGTTGTTCATACTTCTCTGGTAGCCGAAGTCTCAACTCAGTTTGCTACCGAGCGTTCGTCGGATGATATTGCAAAGCATCTGAGTCGCCGAGTCGCAGAGGTCTGAGCACTTTGCAGAACTGCTTAACATCAGTCTTTAGTGATAGCTCGCGCTTCTTGCTCGCACGCTCGATCGCACGTCGTCGTCGTCGTTGCGTCGTCTTACGTCCCAGATGTTACGTTGTTTTGGCCGCCGCTAAAAATCAGCACATGCAAATTTGGCTGAAAAAAGCACACAATTAAATGGAATAAAATAAAACTATAACACATAAATAATAAAAAATGAGTAAAAGATTATAAATAAAATTCAGTCTGTAATAATGTATCAGCAGCGTTAAAAAGCGGCAAACGAAAGCGGAAAATAAAGAAATACAGGGCAAGTGCGCGTGCGCAGCCAGGAGTGCCCTTACACAAAGGTGTGGTCACTCTATAAAAAAAAAACACAGCAAAAGTAAAGAAAACATAAAGAAACAAAAAAATAAATAAAGTCACAACGAAGTTTATGATTAAAAGTAAACAAATAAAAATTTAAATAGCCTGAAAACTTTTATTTAAATTAAAAAATTCGAAATTTGTATTAAAGAAATCTGCCTTTTGTGATATATACCCCGCTAAAAACAAAAACACATACTCACGAATACCCAAAAGATACATGGCTAGATATATATTAAACATGCTTCACGCTCGCCTAAAGTTCTAAAAGTCAAGTGCAATTTGAGCAAAAACAGCAACAACTCTATACGCTCAAGTGACGTTTTATTGGCGCAAGGTGAACAAAAAATAATAGCAATCCGAAAACCAAAAACAACAACGGAAAACACACGAAAATACACAAAACCTTAAACGGAAAGTTCACAATGTTAGGAAAAGCAAACCCTAAGTGCGCAACAAAATAGAAACACTGAGCAAATAAATTGGATTAACTTGATCGGCTGATCAGCCAGCAAAAGCAGGTAAGTTCAAAGGTTCATAGGGGCTTTTAATATCGAAGAAACGGAACGAACGTTTCATAGCGTTTTTCGTTGAGACACATCCATCATGCGCACATAAAAATGGGGATAGAGATTGGGGATCTTCAGATCCGAGGAGATGGAGATGGGGATGCGGAGATGGGGAACATGTGAATTTCATTAACGAATAGAATTCATAAAACAAAAAAATCAAAAGGAAGATGGCGATGGCAGATAACGCTTGACAATCCGACTAACTGACGAACTGTCTGCGACTCTGGCGGTTTGTATGATTTAATTATACAAACCATATATACACACTCCCCTATATGACACTTATACGACAATCCAGGGAAGCTCGGGGATATAGCTCTTGGGTTTGGTGAGAAAGTTTTCTCTCGGCGCTTTGTTGACCAGTGCACTTTTTAGTGTGGCCATAAAACATGGCTAGATCAACAACAACAAAAGCAAGGGCAGGGCAAATAAACTTTACGACTATATAACAGAATCAATGTAAGTCAAGTGCGAGCGAGATGGCCGACCAGATATAGTCGCCGCACATGTTTGCTTTATAATGCAAATAGCGTGTAAAGCTTTATTTGCCAGAATATTTGTTACAAAAATTCGAAAATACAGGCAAGATCCATGGGAATGGCATTAACTGCGCCACTGAAAGAAATTATTGGTTGTAACAATGGAGGATTAGGTGAGACTGTCTGATCTACTTTGATCGTAAACACAGTCTTAGGTATTCTTAAAGAGTTGGAGATAAGTTGACCTGGATTTTGATACTTATAAGAAGCTTAAGATTAGCAGGTCAATAAAACACACCAGAAAAAGATTTCGATTGAACTAATGATAATACTTGCAACTTTGATTATGTAAACGATGTCAAATCAAATACAAATCAAAGAATACTTAGTTAGAAATTGACTTTCTGGCACTCAGTTCCTGAATTTCCACAATTTCCGCAACTTCCACCAACTCGATTTCTTTGCAATTTTTTGCAAGTGCATTTTACCTGACTCGCGTGAAGGCAAATGAAGAATCTAACTTGGATTGCTTTTGCATGTGTCGCAAATATTGACAGACCCCATATACTCGTACTTATGGCGAGTGGCTTGTAAGTTTGCCGTGTTCTACAAGTCGCAGAGTGTGCACTTATTCTAGTTAGCTAGGGCAATCTACTTCACAGGTTGTTTTAGCCGTAAGCCTTTCAAGATCACAGCCCAGGCCTTTTTCCTGTCTGCGATTCTGTGTCCCAGAACACTCGAAAAAAAAATGTAATGAAAGATTTATGATACAGAAATCATTTTCAGCAACCAAAAGTTCTGGAAACTATTTATTTGATTTTTTCCATACTTTTGTTTTCGTTTTACTTGATAAACTCATTGTATGTAAAAACATTTTTTAGTTAATTCTGTCAGAAAGCTTTTAAAAATTGTTGATTTCATGTATGACTTACAACAGAAAAGTTTCTTAGTCAATATTTTGTAGTAAACTATCACGCAACAAATTTGACGAAGATATAATAGTTGCATTCAGTTTTATTAAACAAAGTTCCCACATGTGTATCCCTTTCACTGGACTTTTTTCAAGAGTGTACCTGGACGGATGACTGACTTGAGTTGGCTGGGAAATTAACACATCAAGGTCGTGTGCTGACTTGAACATCCTTAAGGGGTCCGAGGCCGGAAAAGCACAATCGCTTTAAAAGGAGAGCAGAGCGGGGACAAAGTGTGAAAGTATTTAGTACGGGCGCGTTAACAGCGGCAGCAAAACAAGCTTACAAAATATCAAATGCAAATGTGGCAAGCAGGCAGACGCCGAACAGCAAACACCTGTTGTCAGTTAACATGCCACCTCGTTGAAAGGGGGGTTAAGTGGGGGATCCGGCCTGGCCGAGTCGAGTCTTCTGCCCAGGAGTGTTTCTAGATTCACGGTGACTCACGGCCCCATAAAGTCGTTCTGGGGGTTCTGGCCGTTCTTGGGGTTTCTAGCTGATGTGAAGCGGCTGATTGTCTTCGCCGGTCGTTTTTGGGTGCAGCTAAGCAGCTCACTTCCCCAGCATTTGCATCGCAATAAATATCGATATTATTATGGCTATTATTACGATTAGCTGGCAGCGTTCAATTGGCTAAATGTCAGACCGCCAAGCTGATTTGGAGCGAATCTTCAATCAGTTTGAGGCGTGCACTCGATTAAATAAGTGCTGCTTGAATATCAGTTTAGATAAATAATGGTTATTATTAGAAAGTATTTTTTTGGCAAATCTTGGTCGAATCGTTTAAATTCTTACATTTATTTAAGTTTCAATTACAAATAGCAAAGAGAAATTCAAGGTTGATATGCTTTGTATTTATAGTCGAATTAATAATTGTGTGATTTAACCATATTTAAAGCATAACCTAAAGTGATTTAAAAGCAACCATTTTTAAAATATATATTTTATATTGCAGTCCTTCCGGTTGAGCCCTTTGAGCTCAGCGAAACCCGATTTCCACGATGATGAATCAGGATAATCCATATGCGGTAAGCGATCTCATGTTAATACTGATTTTATTATAAGATCTCATATTTATACCGATTTTATTATATGTTCACCTCTGTCAAACAACACGAATAAAATAAACCGAAGCAAATACAGAAAAATAAAAATAAATATTTTTACGAGCTAAATATTGAGCAAAGCCATAAAAAGTTTACGACTATAATAATTTTATAGGCGTCAAGATCGCCGGACAGTTTGTGCGTTGAAAATATGAAATCTGGCAGCATTGATAAGATATTTCTGATATGGCTCCAAAACCATCAGCAAATCAAAGCGCTTCCGCATTTTCGATTTTGGGCGCAAAATGAATTTATGAGTTATGGGGTTTGGGGGCATGCATAATTGCCCAACAACAATAAAAGCGACAGAAAGAGCGACGAAAATTGTGAGTAGCCTAAACCAGTTTACACAAAAATCTGGCTAACAACGGCGAAAATATTTAAATGATGTCATAATTTTAATAGGAGAAAAAAACTCATAATAATCATAATACAAATACAAACTACGTTAAGTATTTCCAGCATACACGATTCACCTGCTCTGCTCCGTCTTTCTGTCTTTTGTCTTGCGGCCCGGCTTGAAATTAATGCAGATCAATTAGTTAATGCTAAGCGAATTGCGTCGTCTCTCGGGCAATCCACATGCATAATTTAAGGCTTATTGTCTAGCAGGGCAGCTCGAAAAATATGGGAAGACACGAGAGAGAGAGAGAAGGCGAAGAAAACACCTAAGTTGCTGCTAACATGGCACTAAATGTCAATATTTGAATATTAAATTTTATTTAAGTGCGTTTTTTATGATTTTAAGCTGATTTTCGTTTAGTCGATCAGTCGAATGCCGGCACCAAAGATTCACAGCCGAGGACTGGCTAAACCAAAGTCGGCCAAAAAGCATAAGCCAAGTCGAAGATCTCACAGCCAAAAGAGGCGGTCCCGCCGTAGTGTTAATTAGTTGAAATGTGAGACGATAAACTAAATGTTTGATTAAAATGAAGGCAACAACAGCGGCTCGAATTTGGGCCACTTTTGAAAACGATGTCTTCGAGCGGCAAGTTGGTAGCGTTAGCTAATAAATTTATGAATATGAAACGATCTTTAAGAGGGCAAAGAATTCCACTGGATTAGACAAGAAGAACTGAAAATATTTTCTCGGTCACATTCTTAGTTTTTATATGGTATATGACTCAAGTCCGTATCGAATTTCATATTTTTGAAAATATAGATTGGACTGATTATTAGGAAACAATAAAAATAAATTTAAGCCATGTTTTTAATAAGCAAAAAACCAGCGAATGCAAAAACTTCGGCTTTATGAATAGCCATAATTATTTATGCATATTAGAAACTAATGAAAATAAACTCACGTATTTAATACACCTTAGACAACGACGTATCGAATTACTTTAACATGGATGAGAATGATCTCAAACAGCTTAAGGCAGTTAAATTTGAATTTTATAAGAGCACTTAATATAATAAAATTTAGGACTGATGTCAGAAATCGTGCAATAGGTTTTTTTATTCGATATAATGAAATTATGTTCAGCTTAAAAATGTAGGGTCACAACATTTATAAAACTGTGAATGAACATAGCAAAAGGGATTATAATTTTATATTTTTTAAGGAATTTTCATTAGGTTGCAGGCATGCAGTTGTCATAAAAAATTTACGAAATATTTCCCTCTAATGAAACTTGGAAGCGCAACTCTCCATGAGAAAGATACACAAATCTGCATTAGCCGGCCATAAATGTACGAACATTTTAATGTTCTTGCAACATCTCCATATTGCCACGACCTTCGATACAATCACGCCTCCAAAATCCCGTTGATGACACGACGCTATGGAAAAAGAAAACTAATTTCCACGGGGGGCTGTGTGGGGCGGTCCGGGCGAAAATGCATTACAATGTTATGATGTATGTGAGAGAAGCTCACTTCGACTCCGGGACCAAAACTCTCGGTTCCCATCCCATCCAGCCTAAAGCCTCCGCCAACCGCCAACCGCCAACCACCAACCACCAACCGCCATCCTCCATCCTCCATCTGTAGCTTCAGTTTTGGGGCACACGCATCTGGGGGCTTTGGCAAATCTTTTCTATTTGCATTGGCAGCAGATGAAGAGGCTGCTGCCACCGCTGCCGCTTCTTCTACGGCCGCTGCTGACCATTTTGGTCATAAACATTTGCGTAATGGATTTTTTTCATATTTTCGTGTGTGTCGTTCTCCTTTGCGGCTGCCAGCGGGCAAACACACAAAGTAAATTAATTACGAGCCATGCCAAGGTGCATATTTCCACGTTGGAAAATTCTTTTTACCAGCAAGCGCAGAAGCCGGACTTGGGAGAAAAATTAGTTGTAAATGCCCAAAACTAAATAAGAAGAAAAACAGAAGCAGCAGGCAAATTAGCAAAGGCCCAAAATCTTACACACACCGAAATGTAATTACTGCACTTACCCGGACTCTTGTGGCTTTGTTGCAAATTTTGTGGTCGCAAAACGCAGTCGACGAGCTGAAGAGCTGAAGAGCTAAAGACGAGGAGACAGGAGCGGACAACAAGCTCAGTGGCTTCATGTGTAGGCAATTTTTCACATGCGTAGCCAGTTTGGAAGCGAAAAACTAAAGCCGAAGCCAAAAAGCAAAACCAAAGCGAACACGGTTTGAGGACGATGAGATGAGAAGCTGTAAAAGTTGTCCAGCGTCGGCATCTCCTTCTCCTACTTGTTTTACCGCCGCATCCACTCCTGCCTCGTTTGTTTTCGCCTTTTTTTCGGAGTGTGTATGTACATGTTGCGGTTGATAACTCAATTAGAATGTTAAATTTATGTTCGCAACAAGAAATTAACTTGCAATTAGAAAATGCCTGAATTGCAGCGCAAAACGTAACGAAACGAAACGAAAGACTTAGGACACGAACTTGATAGGCAGGAGTCGATGGGTTGAAAGTGGAACTGCAAATACTCTTTGTACAATGGAGGTTTAATTAGTTAATTAGCAGTCATATAATTACATGTATAATTTTTACTTAACTCTAAAAATATTTCCCAAAAGAATTTTATGAAAAACTGTTAACCAATATTTATATTGTACAGAAATAAAATTTTTTATCTCTCTAACGTAGCAATTAATTAGTTTAACTTGGTTTTGTTTAACGTTTTTGCTTATAATTCTTGACAAAAATATTTCATTCAAATCTTGCTACATTTTGAACCAGCCCGAATACTTTAGTCCGCTGCTGGAGTAATTGTGCCAGCCACAAAATAAATTGAAACAATTTAGCAAACGTAACTAAAGACAGACACATAGATTCGTATAATTGCCAGAGCAACTTGTAGGGCAACTCAAAACGAACCCGAGGACTTGAGACAAGTCTATTGCCATGGTTTTTGGCCGAAAACTAATGATGATGATGCACTGCACGCATTTGCACTATTTATAATTCGTGAGCAGACGAGGAGGAGGCGGAGGATTGAGTGCCAAAAGATCAATGATCAATCCTGGACTTGATGACTCTACTAGACGGCCGACGCAGAGCCTTAGAATCGGAATGAGTTGAGTTGAGCCTGGCAGACAACTTCATTTGTTTGCAGATACATTTCACTGGGACGCTGGCACAGATGGCTTCATGCGGTGGAGCCTTTTGGCACAACTTTGATTTGGTGGGCCGTACATGTATAATCAGTTTTCGGAGCGATTTTCTCCCGCAGCCGCCGCTCGATGATTAATGAGCGAAATTAGCCAGTCCAAAGCCCCAAAGCCATGTGAGGGAACATTGCACATTGCACACTGCCGTCCAGCAAGGCAGAAAAGTTCTGCAAAAGTTCGTTAGGCTCTTGCCAAATGACTAAGGCAGCGAACTTGAACGAACTACACACAATTACATCGCTCTTAAAACTGAACTTCCTCCCGAAAAGCGAAAAAGGGGAAAAAAAATCAGAGGGGCAGAAAAAAAACAACAAGAGAACCGAAATTGATGCTGACTTTGGCTTCCACCGTATGCATCATGTCATTATATCCGCTAACACAGCCAACTGGATAACCTTGACAAAAAATCCTACAGCTGAATGCATTAGTAGTCCAAAAACAGAAACAGACAAAAAAAAATGGCAAGTAGTAGAAGCAGCAACTGGCAGAAACTAACGACTTGCAAATGCGGCCGGTACCAAACAAAACGCTATTAAACTTCTATTATTTAAGTACTACATTGTGCACTGATACTGAAAGCGAAAACGAAGAAGATCGTCGGTCAGCCGACGATAATGAGACCCCAAAGACTCCGAGTTTCCGAGACTCTACGTAGCTAACAGAGCAGAAATCCCAGAGCGACCGAGTACTGTTTGCAAAATTATGCAATATTATGTAATTATACAGACAATCAACAAGTGGGAGGGCCAACCAGCCGGCAACCAAAAGGCGAGGGGCCGTCTACTTTTATTGCTCACTCCGCGCCGATCGCCAAGAAGGCTGAAGTGCCTGGAAATGTGAAAAAATGTGAAAATGATTGGGGAGCATTATTTTCAAATTAGCGCGTGGCTTAAAGATAAGTTGGGGCAGGGTCGCCCTCCCCCTTTTTCCAACCGCCACTTCGCAAGACACTCGAGACTCAAGTACTTTATACCTGACGGTTGCCAAAATAATAAAGCATTCGTGTGAAATAGAAACACTCTTCCTGGGTAGATTACAGATTGATTGCTTTTGTCAAAAACAACATTTTTAATTGTAATTTTTTTATACAAATATATATTTTAATATATTATTTTAAATATAATTTAATATGACTCATTGTTGCATCCAATTTTTAAAAATTAAATTAAGAAAGAATTATACTTTCTATCTCGGTTTATATTTTTATTGATTTTAAATTTGGTTTATAGTTTAATGCTTTAATATAAAATGTTAAATTCAAGATTTACTTAAATTTTTAACCTCTTCAGGAAGAGTATTCCTCTAAAGTACTCTCGCACTTTTAGCTTCTTACCCGA